CTCCTCACCACCAGCTTCAAGCCGGAAAATTTCGAGAATACGCCATCCTCAACTGCCACTTTAGAGCCATCTAAAAGCTCTGACGGACCAGTTGCTATGTCACCCGTCTTGCAGGCAAACCTATCCGAGTTGTACGATTCCATGGTGAAGAAGCGACCGGATCAGGAAGGCCATTCGGAGAGGCCAGATGGGCTGATCGAGCAGACTTTTTCGGAGGTAAGAGGTGAAGATGACCAGCACAACGAACTGGATCAGGAGAAAGGGAAAACGAAACTGGAGAGATCAAACGACATCGGGCCTGAATCTACCGGAATGTCGCTATTAATGCAAATGCATCGGTACCCGTCGATCTGGGAAACGGCCCAGATTGTACCATCGGAGGGCCGAGGTTCCATTCGCCGGTCGGGACGGGACGACGAACTTGCTGCTTCGCCGGAATGGGGGCCGACAGAGCATGCAAACCGGTTGGCGAGCGGGGGCGCCGAGGGAAGGAGACTGAAGAAGCGGGAGGCCTACATGAGCCGAGGAAAGAAGACGGAGGAGATAAAGACTCACAAACCGCACGTCTTCGAGGAGGCCCAGCCAAGCCTTCTGCGAACCGGCGATTGGGAGAATGAAGCAGTCTCAGATCCGGAACGTCTAGCGCCGAGATCGTTTCTCCGCCTCGTCCACTTCGAGCAGAAGGGACAGGCAGCTCTGGTGCGTTTCTGGTTGCCGCCGTTGCTCAACGAACGTCAAATTGTGCTCTACCCTCTACTGGTTATCGCGTGAGTGCTGACGACTCAGTCGGAAACTGTACCGACAAGATGGAGCCCGAGAACATGCCGGCTCCGTGAAGATGGGATAAATTAAAGGGCTGCTTGGCATCGCATTGAAATAAGCTGATGCCAACCGCTCCACAAATGATGATATTCATTTGTTTGGATCGCAGCCAAGACGACCAAGATGGGGTGGCCTTCAGTTTGGCAGAAGTCCCATTTAGCTTTAGAGTGTGGGTTCGACTTTGTTTTCGCAATTTGCTCGGAGTCTCAAGGAGACTATGTGGAAGGTAGGTAGTCTCGTGTCATCTGCCAGAATTGTCGTGATTTCCAGCATTGGGCCGTTATTTTGGCGTATTCATTCAGCCTATGAGTAGGTTTTTGAGACTACCAGAAAATCAGATCTATGAGTTGTGTTTAGCCTATTTCGTTTAAGGTAATTGAATTTTCCCACAATCAGCTGAGTAGAACGGATGTCACCAATGAATTTCACATGAGCTTGCTTTCCCAAACAATATTCCAGCTTGGATGAGCATACCTATTGGGTGACAAAGTCATGCGAACTTCAATGGAAGCGTAAGGTATACTCTTATGATATGTATGGTCGCAGTCTTCCTTAAATTTGTGGAAGTGGGCTGACCTCATTTTCGCAATTTGGTCTTGTTGTCAGGGCGAGTTAGTTGAATGTGCCTTGTCCAAAGTGATCTGCCCTGGTAGCTTTCATAAGTCCCAGCATCAGACCATAAACTTGGAACATGTCAGAGGTTTCGCCGGTAGCGTAGTCGGTATCATCAGTGAGTGATACAATTCTCCGCACCAAGCTACAAGTTCGTCGTCATCAAAAGGAGACTGCCACCATACCGAGTGATACATCAGCCTGGTCTTCATATCTTCACTCAAACTACGGTAGTAAAGTTTCCAGACAATGCACTGTATACAGGCGGACAAAGAAGACAATTGTAAATCAATCTTTCCATCTGACCTTTTGAACTGTTGTAAACGTCATGGTCTCACGCCTAAGATCTCTGAGCTTAGAAGAACCTACCATTTGCATAAGGTTAATGAATATCCTCAATAGGCTTCTACTCAGAAACTAAGTGAGACTTGTGGTACGAAGAGGAATAAGCTATTTAAGTGTATGGATATTTAGTCAAGGCTGCGGCGTGATCTGGCCAGGATCATGACACCGGAAGACTGGAAAAATCTGCAGAACATGACCAAGAGGAAATCAAGTAGGATTTTTGACTTAATAAAACAACGAAACAACGAAAAATCGCCTTCTGAAAAGTTGTTCTCATCCAGGCACCAGTGGACTGCAGTTTCGACCTCGCATCGGTCTTATCAACAATAAATTGCGCAAGTTTGGCATTGTAAGACGGCCTAAGTTAAGGACAGTACGCCCAGTTGAAGTGGCTTCGGAGGTGACAGCAGCTGCTAATCAGCAAGACCCTGGAAACGAGTTAACAATTAGTCCTTCAAGTGGATAAAGGAGGAGCTACAGTGATAGTGGACAAAAAACAATGTACCGAGAAGATGGAACATATTCTACGGGACAGGACCACATATCGTAAAGCTAACAAGGACCCAACTATGAAGTTCACTGGAATCTTAAGTGCCATGCTGAAAGATATGCGTATGAATGGGGAAATCGATGCATGGACAAGAAATCCAATCATAAGAAAGGATGCACGACCATCAGCAGCCTACGGATTACCGAAGACGCAGAAACAAGGCGAACAACCAAAGCTGATAGTCAACAATAAGAATGGAGCAACACACAAATTGGCAAAGTTCATATGTTTTAAATTCAAGAAATTAAATGATAGGCTGTCAAACATGGTGAAACATTTATGTGAATTTTCTTAAAAATCAAAAGCATGGACCTGGAAGAAACGGACTTATTAGTAAGTTTTGATGTGGAATTTATGCATACAAATGTCTCTGGAGAGAATGCGCCAACGGCCATGCTGGAAATACTGTACCAAGAGGAGGATTTTCTGGAATCAAAACGAATCAGGAGGGAGTTGTTAACGAGACTTATCAAATTGACAATAAGTACAACCTATTTTACATTCAACGGGACCGTCTATGAACAAACATTTGGACTTGCCGCTCGCAACACTTTTGGCAAACGCAAACATGAACAAAATATAAGAGAGCTTCAAGCTGGCACCGCTACAACCGGCAGTGCTCATGCGGTACCTGAATGACAAATTCGCAATTTGGTCACGTGGAAGAGAAGAACTGGAAGAGTTTATGAAGTGTGTAAACCAGATTGATGAAATAATTCAATTCACGATAAAAATAGGGAAATGTGAGCGGTTACTGTTTCTGGACGTTGAAGTGATTCGCTCTCATTTGAGGCTCAAACAGAAATGGTTTAGAAAGAAGTCCTATGCTGGAATAATACTCAATTTCCGGTCCCATCACAATTACAGGCTAAAGATGGGAATAATAAAGAGCATGATCATCCGAAGCTTACGCCTGACGGTTGCAGATTTCTGGGACGACGAGCTAGACAAATTGACGAGGATATTCCTCGGCAACGGCTACCCGAGTGAAATGATATAAAGAAATATACGACCGTGAAAAGTCGAAGGCAGAGTGGGGACTATGAAAGAACTGAAAGGAAGTTGAAGTATTCACAAAAGTGGATATGCCTGCCTTCCTGCGAACTAACTCAAAAACGACGCCAATCTTGAGGAAATGGAATATTCGGTTGGCCATGAAGGAGAAATGAACACTTTTCTCAAGTCTACCGACGCAACATGAAAGAGTAGACAAATTGGATTGTTCAGGAGTTAACTGTGGATTAAGTGGCACCTGCCAACAGAAATCTATTGACGAAACAGGGATGCAAATTAGCACAGGAATCAAGGAACATCAAAGGCTCTGCAGGAAAATGGATACGGAAAGATGAGAACTAGCGGATCATATCGCACAGACTTGACACGAGATCACTTGGAAGGCCACAGAAAGAAGAGCCTCATACGGTGACAACAGAAGGAAGCGGAAGTTGAGGGAGGCCATTGACATGCTTAGGGAGACAAATCCAATGAACAGGAAGGTAGAGTTTGCGATAACTTTGTCTACTGTCTAAGCAACATCGGAGAAAACAAGAATGGAGCAAGACCAGCAAACGGGATCAGGGAGCTCTTGCCAACCGGAGGAAGAGTGATCGTGATTAGAAGAGAGGAGGGGACGAGGATTTTCGGCAATAAAGCGAAGACGTTGTCAGTGAGTGATGTCCATTTCACATAAACCAGTACAACTTTTGGAGCTGAGCGGGCGGATAAGCAAACCGTCAGGGAAATTCGGCGTTATGGCCAAAATGTATTATAAATCCACTTGAGAATCCGCATATGACCAGAGATGGGCGTCCACAGTTTGTTCAGTTTACGTGGGTTTAATCAACGAGAGGGAATGGCCTTTTATCTGCAAGCATGGCAATCAGAGTTTAGTCACTCCGCTCTGTGAAGCGGCAGTTTACGTGCTTCTATGGCCTTAAGAAATAGCGCCTGGAGTGAAATGCACTCTGGGACTGGAACCGAGTGAAGTGGGCCAACCAGAAACAGAAGGAACGGATCTACGAGACAATGAGAGGATCCGGATTGGAGGCCCGAGTCGGATCAGCCCATCGAAAGACAAGGGGTGAGGGTGAATAGCAAGTGGGATGAGGCCACAAAAGGGCACACATTTTGACGAGTGGAATGTAAACAAGTGAGAATCTGTGATCGGGCGGAGGTGGGATAAAAGGGTAAAGAGTGTATAGATAGGCCAGGAGAGAAAGAGGAGTGAGAGTGTAACCGTTTTCGGCAGAACGTTAGTCGAGGGATTGACTGCAATTGTCTCTGACGAGTCCGTAATTTGGTGCGTAGAATCGCAGCACTCGTTGATGCTGTCGAGTACGATGCCGGCGAAACGTTTGAGAGTGTACCAAATCCACGGTCTGATGCTAATTACTATGGCAGAAGACTTCGGACAAGATGCGTTCTACATAGTCGCCCTGACAACAAGACCGAGTTGTGACAACGTGGTCAGTCCACTTCTACTCCTACAATTGCCCATCCATTATCACTTTAAAGCAAATAGGGTAAACATATCTCACATAAATTATTAAACATTAGTTGTATATGACAACACATTCAATTGATTTGATGGACTAATGGAGAGACTTTGACAAATTTATTTCCCAAAACAGGTTTGGGAAATTCAATTCCTTCATTTTACTGTGACTAGGCCTACTTTTTATTTGTACCCATAACCAGAGACGACAAGCTGTTGCTTGATAGTCTTCTTCAATTCTCAAGGACGGCTATTTTAGAGCATGACTTATTCTGAGAGTAATATATATATATATATTTAAATATATTATATCGTGTTTTTTTCATGTCGTATTTGTATTAAATGGCTGAGGATGACCTTCACAACTGCTGTTTTCGCCAAGTGTGCTTATACGTACTTGCTTTCGATGTCCGACATTGTATGCCGCTACGTCTGTTCCGCAAATATTTCATAGTTTGTGCTGCCGCAGGCGAAGATGCAAGAATCACCATCAAAGCGGGGACCAAAAGAATAAACATCTCTTTTCGGTGTAATTAGTTCTCGAGACGGTCCCTGATTCTCTGATCAGAATTCAGTCGGTCTATGACTCTTAAATGGAGTTAAGGAGTAATGGGCAAATTTCCCCAAATGTTATGAGTAGGCCTCATGTTTAAAATGAATTTCGTAAGGACTTGCTTCCTAAACGATATTCGAGTCTCGTCTGGTGTGAAGTGGAGGTTTAACCTCGCCCAAATGGTATCATCCGCACCCCCAATAGGAATCGCCCAATTGCCATGAATAGTGAAACTCTTATTGAAGCCTACTTCATTTGGTTATAAGTAGTGTAGTCAATCGTACTGGCAAAAATATAAACTTGCCTCATCTACAATTCCGCACCGTAAATGTCCTACGGTGCCCTGTTGCCAGGAGGCATCGGTTGAAGTGTAGCGTAGTAGTGACGAGTCTGGAGTAAACGAGACGAGGCCTCAGTTCGAGTCCCGTTGGGGGTGTTGACGAGGCGATGAAGCAAGGTCGAGACTGCAATCCAGTCGATTCTGGGGGAAACTGACTTTTTGGAGGCAAGGTCGGGTGACCTTGACTGGAACCGTGAGGCCTAGTCACATGACAACCAACAGTTCCTCGTTAGATTCCGCGACCTGGGGCTACTAGAAGCCTGAGTCTCAGCGTCGAGCTGGTTAGAGTGGCTGCAAGCCTGTCACCGCCAGTCACTTAAACCGCGTCCCTTTCTTTCCACAGCAACTCTCTCCTCGACGACCGAGACGACAACGGCTCCGGCGCCGAGCTCGAGTTGGAACTGGCCGTCTACTTGTCCGGGACCTTCGACGTGCTCGTCTGTCGTGTGGAGGCGTGGGCCGACAGGGCACGCGTAGACGTACAGAATGGAGGGCCGGGTCAAGAGGTCAAAGCTTATGCAGATCTGTTGAGGTAGGTTGATCCCTCCACGTCTTCTCACTTTACATGACACCTGCCCCCCGAAACCGACTTGACTCCGGTTGACAGGCTATGGTCCCTGCTCCTCCCCTCTTTCCCGGCAGGTGTTATGTCCTTTCCACCCATTGCATCATTCATTCTGACCACAACATTTATTCCAGTTTTAATTGAGTAGTAGGCTTCGATACTACTCGTAAAGCCTGAATAAAGTATCTATTCGACCCAGGTTGTATTGACTGATGAAATCCTGATACTTGAATTGACCCACTCTCCTAGGAGTAGGCCCCTTAGTTACCATTACATTCGACTGGACTGGACTGAAGTCACAAACGCGCCTGAACTAGTCCCATAATCACCCTCAGCTGAACTCGAACCTGGGTTGTGTTAGGGCAGCGTATAGTCTCAAGACGTTGCGCACGACGCTAAACTGCTAAAATTGTCCTCACATCGTAGGGCAGAAGAGAATTTCAATGAAAACCAAGCTTTTCCCATATCACATTTTTGTGTAGTTGCTATTATAATCGGCCACACTACTTGCATCCGTAGTGAGTAGGCTGGCAAGTAGAGCTTAAAATAAACAAAGCTAAGGGAAGCAAAGTGGCATCATGAGTTATAATGGTAGGAGAGTCGGAAAATTAAAATATCAGTCCTTCATCACCTTATGTGGCCTAGAATGACTAGTGATCTTATTTTATCGGTTTACCGGGGACGACAAACTGTTGCTTGATAGTGTTCTTCAATTATCAAGAACAGCTATTTTAGAGCGTAACTAATTCTAAGAGTGATATATATATATATATATATTCGTGTTTTTTGTCATGTCGTATTTGTAGTAAATGGCTAAGGATGACCTTCACAAATGCTGCTGCTGTGGCAGCAAATTTGTAGTTGCGATTTTAATCGGTCACACTTCTTGTATCCGTGGTGAGTAGGCTGGGCAAGTAGATCTTAAATAAGCAAAGCTAAGTGAAGTAAAGTGGCATAGTAGGAGAGTGGAAAAATTCAAATATAAATCCTTCAAGACCTCATGAGGCCTAGAGTGACTAGAGATCTTATTTTATCGGTTGTAAAATCAAGTTTCAACGCTTCCCCTTTTCTGAGATATGAGAAGTCCAATTAAAACGACATTGCCAATTTGTCTGGCATGGCATCCGGGAAGACTATAATTTGTCTGCTTTGATAGACGTAACGACGGCTACTTTTTGGGTCCAGTGGCCTCCAAAAACCTTTATTCCGACCGTCCAGCGTATGACGACGTCCTTTGGAGTGCATCTTGACTGTGAAAATTAGCAAAGAGAAAACATCATTGCCCGTTTGTGCACTTTCATTGGCACATGAAGTCTTCTCGAAGCGATAAGGCGAACAGTGAGAAGTGTGACAGAAGTGTGCTCACCTCACTTCGTTTAAGCTGATGAAGAAGTGGCAGTTAAGTTTCCCCACAATCGCATTGGTATGCCACACGTTTCCGGTGAATTTCACATGGTGTTGCCTGCCAAAAGGTGGCAAACGGTGCCACTTTCAATGTCACCGAGGTGCATTGTTCATCGCCGATTTAGAAAGTCGATCTCGAATGGACTGCTCTAGCGTGGACTCAACTCGGCTCTGTCGACGCCTTCGCGAAGAGGCACCGTGACGGATGCGCCCGATGCATCAGGTCCTACTCAAATTGGATGGACACTTTGATACTTACGGTGAGTTCTCGGAACATCCAGCCTGTCCAAAAGCATCCAGCTCCGCGTTTGGTGCAGTTGGGTCAGGAGGATGATGGCAAAAAGCTATCTTCATAAAAAGTAAAGCTTCATGTTACTCAACAGCAAAACGCTGCCAACTCTGGAGAAACAGCAAATTATGCCCGTCTGGCTTTACTATCGAGAGAAAAACGTGAGATTGACAGGGTCGTAGAGAATGGCATCATCGAGTGACAATGTTGCGAAAGGGAATGTGCAAATTTTAGCCAATTTGTATTGTTTTTTTCCCCTTAGCTCAAGGGAAATTCTCTAAGTCTTTGGTCTATTTCCTTGCATTTTTCAGAAATCTACAGAAACAATACCCCTTTATTCATGAAAATAAAACTGCTGTACTTGGACATCTGGTAAGCACGATACAGTTTCAAGCGTATTTTTGGTGTCCGCATGTATTAATAATCCTTTCCAATAA